CAAACAACAAAAATCTAGAGACAAATCTCGATCTAACACACTTTATTTGTTTTCTTTTTACTTTTTTTTCTTAATTTTTCATGATCAAGTATTCAAGATGTTGTAAACCGAGGTTTATTAGTACATCAACAATCAATTTCATTAATCACCAGGAAATTATACATCTTTTAAATTACCCTAAGAGGTCTCCAAATAAATATTCATTTTAAAAATCAAACTTCTTTACGCAACACTCGAACAGTCTTTCATCACAAGCACACCTCTACACACAAACACACACACACACTGGACACACACTCCACTAAGATCCTAATGCCAGTTTATTTAACACAGTTTTACATTTTCTGAAACTAAGGAGTCAGAGGCTGACCTTCCTGCTTCATGCTTCTAAATTAACATTTGGGGTTTTTGGTAGAGAGGTATGTATTTTAAGAAAAATGCCCACAATTTGGTACTAGTCTTACCAATTACAATTACCAATTACCAATAATTGGTACCAGTCTTACCAATTAATTCTTATTTTTTATTTCTAGATACAAACTTTAAATTTCTTTTGTCCACCCTTTTGGTTTAATATGTCCCAACAATTATTTTCATTTTCAATAATATGTTCTTCAGTTTTAACATGTGATGGTAGAATACCAGAAAAAGATAACACTTTCAAAACCCCAATGTTAAAAACACCTTGAGTGTAAGCTTTATGGAAAAGGAATAAGAAAAGGTTATCTGAAATATTTTTTTACCTCTCTCTGAAATTACTTTTAGCATCTAATTATTCTTGCTAAAATAAATATCAAAAGCACTGAGTTTCCCATAGAAAAGTATTCCCCCTTACACGCTTCATTTTTGCAGCATAGAATTTATGGATTAACTGTTGAAATGAGAGTAATGGATGCTTGTTTTCTGAGAAATTCTCCAGATTTCCAGACTCAAAGCACATGCAGCTTCTTAGTGGTGAACATGCATCATTAAATACTTTTAGCACCAAGGCATTTCTTTAATGTTGCAAAAGCAAATACCCAGGAAGGATTTCTGTCATATCTGACCCTTCCTAGGACTGACTAAAAATGAAGTACTAAAATAAAACCTCTTCAAACATACACAAGTCTGATTTCAATGCAATAATGAGAAGTCTGAAAAAGATAGAGCCAGCAGCATCTCGGAAGATGAAGAAGAGGACAGAAAAGATAAAGTGCACAAGGCATCTAACTTGGCCCACCAGCCACAGCACTCCCGTACTACGGAAGAGGAAACACAAATGCGTGTGAAGGCTACCTACCAGTCTGTATAACAGAGTATTAGCAAACCTGCAGCCTAGGCAATTCTGGGATTATACAGTGTTTTGGTATCTGTCTGCTACTTAGAATATTCGGTATGCACCTATGTATCAATAGTTATATTCGTGTTCTGTGCCAACTATGATGTTTTAAGTACACACAATCACAAAATATCACTGGCTACCATCCTGGGCTTGGGTTCACCTACTGCTCCTGGGCACACTAAAGAATTCCCACAAATGCTTCAGGTCCATCCAAACTACGAAGCTTCTCTTTGGCACATGGTTTCTACAAAACAGGCTCCAAAAAGAAACACCTGGCTCCAAGTCCACCAAAAGATGCAAGCTGGAATTGCTGACTGAAGCAGAATTTTCTTGGTGGGTGGTGAAAATGTAGGATTGCCATTACCTCCACTAGCCCCTACCGCAGGTAACCCCCTTCTGTGCAGACTGACACTTCCAAGTGCATGCTGCCAGTGGTTGTTGCACCAGCTAAAGGTTACAATTGGGGTCAGCAGTTTGGTACCTCTTTTGTACACATTCATTTAAAATTTTTATTAGGAATACTAAAACTCATATTCACCAAAAAACTAATAGAAATGTTAATATTCTGAAAGAAAAAAATATATACCTAAAATCCCCAAAGCTCAGATTCAACGAATGTGAACTAGCTTTCCTCATAAGGTTTCATTTCAGAAACTCTGCTGAGACTCGATGTTAACATCGAAATTGGATTTGTTCTATATTAAATATGAACTATAAATAAATATTTGAGGTATGCTATGACAAACAGTTTTTAATATAACAGCTAGCTAAATAAATGTAAATTTACCTTGAAAATCCAGTTAAACATTAAATCTTGATGTTTCCTACAGTTTTTTCTATTTACATGAGAAATAACTTTTCTACTCAGAAACAGTAATACATCAAAAAATAAAATGCTCTAACCTCACTATTTTAGTCACATCTTGCCTTTGTTAACTAAAAACTATTGTATGCATTATGTAGTATAAGAAGCGAATAACGGTCAGAGAAACCTACGTCTGAACTCTGACTTTGCCACTCTGTACAATCCTAACCAAGTTACTTTACTACTCTGAGCCTCCATTTCATATGTATTTTTAAAAAAACCAAAAGAATAAAATCTTTGCAAGGTTACTAAGAGGATTAAATAATGTATATTAAGTGCATGACAAAATGCTCTGCAAATAGTCAACACTCAACAAATGCTAATTTGTTTCCTCTCTGTTCCTCCTTTCTCCCCACCTCCAACACCTTGCTTCTGGCTATTTTCAAGAATTGAACACACCTACAAAAAAGAATAAGGATTTCATGCTAATGAAGATAACCAAAAGAATGTGCTCCAACCATCCATCCCACCCCCCGGGAGTTTCTAAATTAATAGGATGGACTCAAGGATATTGTATTTGGATATTAAAGCCAAATAATACATTAATTTACAGAGTTCATAAAGGCATAAAAAGACGTTTTGCCAAAATAATTAATTCGAAGCCAAACTCATGGAGACTTCTAATAGCAACTGTGACTATAAAGTAACATGACCAATTTATTAACAAAGAGATAAGATTTTATGTATACAATTAAATGTTATCACCTACAAAATAGTCACTTTAGTTGGCTATGTAATATTCCAATGATGCTATCAAAGCCCAAAGCATTTGGGGAACTATGCTTAATTGGTACATATTCCAAAAATTCTCTCCCTCACAATTTTTACTATTTATTCCATATCCACCAACAACACATTAATGATACACTTGCTATTTATAAGTATGCTATTTATAAGTATTGGAAACTTGCGGAAGTACAATATTATCATTGTGGTACACATTTCAGGCCAATTTCTTTGAGTTCTGGCCGAATCATCCCAAAGGATTCACAGAGTGGTTGACAGTAATCGGTTAAAATGGTACCTGACAGATAACTAGTGCCCAGACACCAACTGCTGAACTGGATGACTCTTCAAGGTAGAGAAGGGGGTGCAATGAGGCTCTCTACTTACCCCTGTTGAGTCCAACAATCTTAGCCACAAAAAAGTGCCAATCCCACCAAAACTCTCTCAATGCAGTATTTTAATAATCAGAGGAAAATTCAGGAAACACCACCCCTCCCCAATCTACACATCTTTAGCTCCAACGCCAAAGGAAACTTTCTCTTCTAAAGGACCAAAGATCTCTCTTCAAGGGTAAAGGGGAACCCCAAGGCCCAGAGTAGACACTAGGTTAATTAGTAATGTTTTCTGAAAACCTTTAATATATGCCACACTGACCAACGTCTGACAGAAGCCAATGCAATTACAGTCTTAGCCGAGCAAGACTGCTCACCTCACTGTGAGCCAAGCCAAAGGGCCAAAGGGAAGTCCTTGTCACCTGAGACCAGTAGCTTCACCCCTTGTAGACATTATTCAGTCTAATAGTGATAACCCTCTCCACAAACTGCATGCAACCAAGAGAACCATTTGACCAATGCCATTCCTAGGTAGGGAAGAAAAAAACCTTGTACCCAAGAATATTGGCATGATTCTACCAGCTGATCAAGATGGAGGGCAAAGAGCCTGTATCAGGGGACAGTCTGTCAATCACGGGACAGTCTGTCAACCACATCTCTTTGTGGAAGAGTGTTAACTAGACAGGGAAACTATTTATTGAATTAGCCAGCCCTACATAAGCATAGTCTCCTTGGCAGAAACTGTTCACCAAATATTGGTATTTGGACCTTACAGTCCCTCACGGCCAAATCCCATGAGTTAACTTGCTGTCAGTCCATTAGTGCTGTCAGGAAGCATCATCTTACACACCACGTAAAAGCATTCGTGTGGTACCTAAATCAAAGCGATGTGCTGGAACGTACTAAAAAGAAAGATGGATAATGAACCCAAAGTGCATTTAAGAACGGAAAAATCCTTTCTCAGAATCACTGCGGGAAGGAGACAGTAGGAGGGAATCAGAGTGGCATGTAAAATGATTCTAACTCTGATAAAGTAGGATTTGGTATGATAGACCAGTTTATTTTAAATTATTTTCAATCATTACTTAGGATGATATTCTGGGTTCAGCTCACAGATCTTCCTCCCTCTGTACTCAAAGTGATTTTTCATATCCCAGGTACAGCTTTCCTGATTCAATTACTCATTTTTAGGAGCAATGGCAGCTTTTTTGTACAGAAAAAAGAAAACAATATAGATTTGCCAGTGCTTTCAAGATATAACGAAAATATTCAAGTGGGACTTTTTCCAACTCCTTGAGTGTCCAGGTTACAATTCTTAACTACCTATGTGGGCCCTTAAGAGCTAAAAGAATTTCTGCAGCAATTTCCTTGGATGAGAAAGCCACAGTTTTTTTCCTTATTATGCATCTCAAATTACAGTTTCTAGCCATATTGTTTAGCACACTAGTTTTAAAGCCTCTTATGAAAGAATACTGGAGTTTATATTCAAGTTATCAGATTTATGATTCAGCAGCCTCTTTAACTGTCATGATGGAGCAGACAGACTAAAAGAGAATTTGTCTCATGAAATGAAGTAGCTGTTCTTTTTATCACACTATGCATTTTGTTCCTTTGAAGCATTTGAAAAATTCTACCTGATTTATAACTCTGCTATGGCTTAAAATGCTATTAACAGTACTCTAAGGAAAGTTAAGCTTCCTCTTTTCAAAAACATCTGCTTTATTCTCTGAAAGCAAAAGGAACATGCTGCACTTACATTTTTCCGATCAAATTGCATAGTTGAGGCAAATTCATTTGTGCTTTGTAGCAGAACTCACAGTAGGTGTTCACATCTAAAAACTTTCACTTGTAAATGCAGTTAAGGTCAAGCTCACCATTGTTTGCAGCGTATGCTAATGGTATGCACCAACATCACCCTTCCCATGATTCTGTCAACCATGTACCTCAGCCTTATGCCATACTGGAGCATGAGCACTAAATTAACATCGGAAAAGGTAACAAATCTATCTAAACTCCTCCTTCATGAAGAGAAGGGAGGAAAGGCTCTCAGTCTTGTTGAGGTATCCAGCCCCCAGTCAATAGTGGCTGTGTATACTGAGTTCTGTTGGTTTGAGGATTGTGTCTGTAGAGGTTAAAGAAAAAAAGACAAGAAGGCACGGGTGTTTCGCAAGTCGCCGTCTTCAACTCAACCAACAAAACTGAAGTCTTCCATTTCCAAGCTTCAGAAAGGAGGCTACATGGTCACAGGGCTCTCTTCCAGCCCCGGCTCTGCAGAGGAACTTATTGCTTCGGGGAAGGGCCCTGGGAAAGTCTGTGCTGTGCATTGGCTCCCTTTCCGCAGACCAGCCTCGTGGTGGAGCTCTCCCTGGGTGCTGAAAGCGGGGCACGACCGAGTCCGGGCTTGCTGGTCGGCGCTGCGGGGCTGGCCCACCCGCTCGCTCACAGTGCTCAGCGGGAACTCTCTCCACCGCCGCCTCTGCAGCTCCACCTCCTTGTGTTTAATGGAGTACCAGGCCAGAAAAATAAAAATAAAGCCAACGAATTTGAGGCCGGCCGCCAAACCAAAATAGACAAAACGAAACGACGTCACGTTGTACTCCCAGCAAGAGCCCCTCACGCCACACTCCTGCTGCCAGAGCATGCAGGTGGTGTCAATAACTGCTCCAAAGTAAATCGGAGTAGGAATGTATGCTAAAGTGCAGAGAGAAAGAAAAACAGATTTAGCCCATTTGGTAAGAGAAAACAGTTGTAAATTAGGAAGTTACTGCTTGGCTCTAAAACCAGTGAAGGGGAGTGATTTTCCTTTGTTTCTTGGGGCTTTTTTTTTAAAGATAAGTCACAGCTTGTTACAATATATTTACCATAAAAATGTTCTCAAAATGGCGAATACTTAAAACCTTCTGGTTTGCAACTCAGAATGTGTTATTGATTTTGAGGATCATAAATAAGTCCATTGCTTATACACATATATCAAATCATCACATTGCACTCTTTAAATACATACAATTTTACTTGTCACTTATATTTCAATAACGCTGACAAAGGTGTTTATTGTTAAAAATGCCATTAGAGAATCCTTTTAAACTAAAAAAATTGAGTTTTCTTGTTAAATACTCAAGAGGCTATACCGCTAGAACTCTGTATCGTCCACCAAAATTCAGTACACTTAGTTCTTGTGGGTTGGGTTCCTTCCAGTCCTTGGATGCAGAAAGAGCATGAAAAAGAGTTGTCTCCTTTAAGTCAGATACCACATCAAATGGCAACTTTATAAAGGCACATGAGGTATGGAAATAATTATGGCATAAAACTTATCTTTGAAGCTTATAAAACATCTGGGATGAGGAGTAGCTTCTTGTGTGGGCTGTGACATAGACACATTTCTTCAATCCCATAAGTCATGTGATGACTTCTTTCATCACATGCTACTCACTTTGCCAAAATGTGCCCCCACCCTCAACACATTCACCTGGCAAACATCTATCTACCCTGACTCACTCGGATGCCACTCTATTCTCATTTCATTTTATTAACTATCACAAAGTATTTAAACTGTTTGCAAATCTGTCACCCTATAAGCTCCTTGATGGCATGGCCATGCTTTTTGTTCTTTGTCTCCCAAGGACCTATCAGGTCCTTGAAGAGCCCATGGATCCTCCTCAATATGAGTGTGTAGAAGAAAGTGAAGGGAAGGAGGGAAGAAGAAAAGAGAGAAGGGAGGACAGAAGATAGGAAGGGAGAGGGGATAGGTGAGCTAATAGCCAGGAGGCAGTGAGTGATACATTTTCAAATAACTTGTATTTGTTCAAAATGAAGCCTATTCAGTACAATTAAATTTTAACACTACTAAAGTACTTAAAACTTTTTTTGCTTTGGATTTGGGGAAATAGAAAATGGTTTATTGGCCTAACTATACTTTTTCACAATCAATAGAACTTAAGTTTGAATTAAATAATAAATGCCTGAAACATTCTCCCTTCCACTTATGCCTGATGCTGCAGCACCCATCTGTTGACTTACCTTCATAAACTTCCACACCCACATCAAATAACCTCAACTCCACAGCATCACAAAGGGACACGGCAAAAAGGAAGAATTTTTTTCTTTTCCTATTCAAACACTCCTTTGTTTAATAAAAAAAAAAAAAACTTTTCTTCTTTGAAAATAACACTTTTTAGTTTGCAGTAAGTATAAGACAAACTTCTTAACTATATCTAAGTATGCAGAATTTTCTATAACCAGCATGCGTTTAAAAATGGTATCTTCGAAGTCTGTTGGTACCAAAATATAAGCCACCTGCTAAACAGAACTAGAAGCATTTTCCTTCTGGGGCTTATTGGAAAGTGCTCATTCTTGGACTGGGCCGACAACCACAGCATATGACAAACTGAGAATTCCAGGGAGGGTTAATGCTTCTAAGGGTCAGACGACATCATTTTTAAATGTCTTACCCTTCAAAACTGAAATAGGAAATCTGAATCAAAACCAAAATTTTGGTCCTGTGGACAATGATACTGATTACTGAGGGAAAAATAACAGCTGAAGAAAAAATAAAAGCTGAAGAAAATGACAGACTGCCACTTTATGAAAGAAAAAATAAACTTGATGATGAGATAGTCAATTAAAAATATATTGAAATTGATCAAGGGAAGGGGTACTTCGTAGGGTTATTTCCTACAGGGTGATGCAGTGTTTGTAAAGATATGCACAATATTCTTCATGAATAAATGAACTCTGTGGTTTATCACACTGACACGGCATTAATGAGCTTCTCTTGTTAAGAAAAACCTTACATCATGTTCCCTATATGTCACTGTTGGGGACCTTTCTTTTTTCTTTTAAGAATTTTTTTTTCTTTTTCTCAGAAAACTTGATAGGAATGCTCTTTGCTCAGTCCAATAAAATTACTATAAAGAAGTGAGGAACTGGAAATTTCACAAATAAAATGAGCACCAATTTCTATCGCTTTTATGTTGAAAAGGCACAAAGGGACCAAAACGCCAGGATAACAAACCCATTACAAATTGCTTGATTTAATATTTCTTACTGTACAAAACTCTCTGTGGAATTTTACCCAACTTTATGTCCATAATGAAAAAGAAACTAACCTAAAGTTAGTTTTGTTTTGTTTCATCAAATGACAGAACTTGTCAGCTTTTAGTACAAATCAGAAAATAAGGAAGTACAGCCTTCACCACTATCCTGTAAAATCCTAGCTACCACTAGTAACAAATGACTTGACTTGCCATTTTTAAAGAACAGTGAGAGTTTGCCATCTACAAAGAGGAACTAAAAGGCACACTTGGAAAGTCAGGAACGTACCAAGTGTTCGCAACAAAACAAACTGCATTCCCAGTGCGAAAGGTCTTTCCTCGTCTTCTACGGACCTACGGTGAAGGGAAAGAAAGAAATACTTTTAAATAGTGGCCCCCAAGAAAATGAATGTCAAATCTAATCTGATTTGTGCAGAGCCGGGGACTAAGGAGACGCTGTGCCAAAATATTTAATTTGCTAGAATTTATTAACAATAACCAGGCAAGATTGCTGATGGCTCAATCACTGAATCAATGTCCCAATGGAGACATCAAAGAAATTGATTGGCTCTAATTGTCTGTGTAAATACCAGGGGAGGGTCCAAGGCTCTTGACTGAAGAGGCAGAAGTGGCTCTAATTGAGCTTCCAAAATTGGTTCTACTAAAAAAAAAAAAAAGTATAGAACTTTACCCTAAATACTGCATTCTTTTTTCTGTTTGCCTGCACTTTCTGGAATGGTAAATGTGTACAATAAAAATTACTCCAATAATTCCTTCAGGATAGGAAAAATAGTAAAAAAACAAAAACAAAAATATAGTCGAAAATGTATACAGAACGAGTCAATGTCAGTGAAAGAATAAGCCCCTCCCCCACCTCTTTTTTTCTTTTCCTTAAAACGTAAGCTCCAAATAATTTCCATGTGGCAGGAAGATTGGAGCTTACTGATTTTCTGATTAGCAAAAATTAAAGGGCTCCTTTTCTGTAATTTTGGGTTAGAAGCCAAAGGGTGATTTGCCATGTGTGATCACTATAAAAAGGGTAGCCCTTCTATGGGTTATTCCACAAATCTTGTAGAATTAAAATACAAAGAATTAGATTTTAAGTGAGTAAATATCCTAATGATTCATATTTTGGATATAATGAAGTACCTTATCCTTTCTATCCCATTCACATAGGGTTGTAGATATATGACAGGTCTTCAAAAAGTTCATGGAAGGATTCATATTCTAATGCAATTTTTCTGTGAACTTTTGGAAGTACCCTGGTATAATGGAAAATTTCCTGGGACCAATGCCCGTGTCATCTTTTCCCCAGCTTCTTTATTTTGCACAGCAATTTGCCCAGTGCTGGACACATGGTCGTTACTCCATAAATATCAGCTGAGGGAGGAATTCAGTGAATAAACCGGTAGGCCGTCCATGCGCTGACACCTATTGTCAAAGAACAGCTTTGCGGGGAAACAAAGATCTAACTCAGCATCCCATAGGAAAGAAGCCAGAACACACACCGTGCAGCCCAGACGCCCTCGCTATGATGTCTCAGCAGGGGCTTCCTGCAGGCGCCCAGCATTGTGCTGTTCTGAGGAGCCAGAGGAAGAATAAAGACCAACCCCCTTCCTCACGCCCTCAATGCACTACGCCCCTCCCCCGGTCCCCCTAGAGTCACCCTGGGAATGCTCTTCTCATGTCACTGCACTGTCCTATTCCTTCCTTTGCCCACTGCAGTCCTTAGTGCAGACCCCAATACACTCATTTGAATGTGCCAGTGTCAACATTTTTAATAGGACAAAAGTAGCTTCCATGTCCTCTTATAAACAAAAAAACAAAATAGTATACAGAATACGGCAAAGAAAGCATGAACACTTGAAAAATCACATTTCCCAGTCTACACTTTCCTTGATTCCATTCCAAAATTTTATATGATAGTAAAATTAATGAACTCAGCATTCTGAACTGCAGGTCCAGCATGAATCGCCACTGATCCTGGAGGTATTATCAACTATCTACAAGGTCAGAGATAACAGCCTTTGCTGTATGCACGATTTAGCAACTTCACCAAATTGCTTCCTTCCCTCCTCTGGGGTTCCGCTTCTCCTAGCTAACACCGTGATGGCTTTCAACTCCGGAAGCTGAAACTTGCAGCCACAGACTTCAGGAACCCAAGACACACAAAAGAAGTTTCACTGGGCAATAGGAATAAAACCCAATTGAATAAAGAAAGTTCTGGAGTATGCAGTGTTATACCCATTCTCTCCCTTCCAGACAGAAGAAAAACTCACTTATGTTCCCCAGGCAAATGTCTGAGCATCTTCCTGCGCAATCTAACTTTGCTTTGCTCTTTGTTTACTACCTCAGTCCCTCCTCTCTGAATAGGTACTCTGGCAATTTTAAGTTCAGAACCCACCCTAGAAGTTGAGTGCTGTTCTCACCTGAGTGTTACTATGATGGCTGATGGCTGGGCACATGCTGTGATGAAGGTGACTATGAAAAGAAAAACTAAGAATGGGATGAGGGTATTACAGGTCCGTTTACACTTCCCAGACACAGCATAGCCATTCTCGTTGAGATACGTTTTGACAATGACCACGCGGAGCTGGCTGCGCTGGCCCACTGTGGGTGGAGTGATCACTTGTCGACTTTGGACACAGGTGCATTCTGTATAATTCCGTACCTAAGTGAGTGAAATAAAGTTCAGTCGTATGCCAACCAAAAGCAAAATGTGGCCTAGAAATATTGAGACAAATTTAAGTAAAAATGCTCTAAAATAACTAGTATTTTTTAATACAAAATATTTCACTGAAAATTTCGTCCTCATTGATAACAGTAAAGGCCCAAAGTGTGTCTAACAATACCGAAATCTGCTAGTCAAGATTGTTTAAACCTAAACTTTCTAAGAAGCTTCCAACACTCGATTCTATAACATTCACATTCCACATGCTCATTTTTATATAATTACATGCTGCCTCAATTCTTGAGGCTCTCCCACGAGAGAAGCACCTCAAAAACAGGCACCAAGCCTATTTTTATTTGTGCTCATCAGAGAACATAGCCAACCCTGAGCACAGAGTGGCCCTAAAGTAAATGTCTGTTACATAAATGCAGAGAATTCGTAACGCAACCGTGATGGCTTCAGTACTAATAACAGTGAGCATCTCATTGGTGAGCAACCATTTCAAACATCTTGTTAGTCCCTTTAATTAGCAAGTGACCTACACTCTATGAATGAATAACCTACTCTACGTTTGTAACTTGGGTCCGTTGACTGTGGCCCCCACCCACCCAGTGCTGCTCCTGGACTCTGACAAAAGACCAGCTGTCTGGAAACACTGAGGAGCCCGAATTCACTTGATCATTTTTTCCAGTAAATATGTATGAGCCCCTACTGACGTGCCAGGTGGACTGAGGATACAGAAGAGCAAAAGAAATCATATCTTCTCTGTTAACTACCAATATTTCTTCTGAAAGCCAATACCAAAGTGAAAAAATGTTGGTGGGTGCTACACGATGCCAAAAATAAACCAACAAATGTTAAATTAGCCAATTAACCTTCCTGCCTAGTATGTTGCTTTTTACCGAATGGACATCAGCTGAACTGGTTGTCATTGTGACCTTTCAACCACTCAGAGCAGCCATAAGAACATGTACGAAAATAGAGCACTGTTTGGCCATCTGTGCTCAAAGGACTGCTGGCCTTTTTTAAAGAATGAGCATTGTACACTAGAGGACTTGCTCTCTCCCGAGGAAGGACTCAGCCACTGAGAAGAACAGAACTTACTGTCTCTTTCAACACAGTCACACACTAGAGCTCACAACTCTGTAGGGGGAAACAGCACCAAGAGTTCCCAATTTATCCCTATAGTTTAGATTAAAACTCCAGAATCAAAAACGACATCCCCAAAACATTTGGTCAATGGTATTCCCCTTATCACCTGTATAGAACAAACAAATGCACTTTAGCCTCTTAATTAAGGCAACCCCCTGCATCTGTTCTTACACAAAGAACCAAAGTAGGCGGCAAAAAGAACTGAGTAGAATATGAAAACCCTCTCCCACAGTATTACAGCCTATTTATAATTCACAGGGAAGGGAATTCTCAAAATAGCCTATTCTTGAACTGACAGAAATATCTTTACTCTGAAAGTTTTTTAAAAAGTCTGAACTGATGGTGTATGAAAAATGGCCATCGCCCATCTTCCCAGACTCCAGTCAGGGGAGGAGGTTCCCTATTCTCTTCGATCGGCACCAAATGTGGTCATCCTGACCTTGACATCCATCCCAAGGGCCCAGTCACAGGAATAAATGAAAGGCCTAGAGCTCAACCTTATCAAGTTTCACTGAGTTGGCACAGAACGTAAAGTAGAAGAGGGCTGACATGGAATCAAATTACTACACCCAAATGCTCCAATCATCCCTGGAAGAAAATGACAGCATTGCATAATTCTTTCCTCTAGGTTTGGTCAGAGGTATTTTGTAGGTTATTCGGAGCCTCCTGAAAGGGAGACTAGCGTCATTGTGATTGCATATGAATCCTATCCTGTCCTTGTCACAGGATGTGGTATTAATAACAGAAGAGGAACTTGTGAAATAATACTCACCCCAGTGCTAAGATTACCACTATTAACACAGCCAGCCAGACAAGGGTTAAAGTATGTAATTCCATCTGATCCACAGACTGGCTCGTACTCATGTATTTTACACCCACAATTAACATTGCAGCTTCCGGTCAGATTCCTATGGGGCATGGTTAGAGAAGGTCTAAGAGAGAAAAGAAACATCATGAGCATCACTTACTAAAATAAAACTAAAAGGAAAGACCTTGAAATTTAGTAATTTGTCCATTTTAGATAAGATATTCCCATTAAATCAAAGCTATGATACCATGAAGTAGCCAGCCTTGATAGTTATTTTTACAACTAAAAAAAAAACATAAAGAAAAATGTCTCTGCTCTCTGATACTACAGATTCAATACTTTCTATCAAATTATCTGTCCTGACTCAATTTTGTCCTCCATCCGGTGCCCTGGATCTAGTCTCAACATCTGGGCTCAGCAATTCTAACCCTAATATAACTACTCACTTACTGTAGGTGCTTGGTTCTATGTCTTAACAAAACTGGGCCTCAATTTCTTTAACTATAAAATGCAGCATGTAAATAGAGGAAATGCTTTTCAGTTCCAAATCAATAACATCATGTGAACATCTAAACATGGAACCTACCAATCACAGTTATCAATGTGGATTCCCTTAACAAAAACTTTGGTTGTTCTAGAATAAATCATCAACAAAAGACATGGGACTCTAGAAAGTCAAAAGGAAGTGATTTTTGAAGATGATTAAGGAATCACATCACAAGTTTGATGTGAACACCAGAAAAGAAAGATTAAGCAATTCTTCACTCAAGAATGCCCAGATGAGAATTCACAATCAAACGTGCTGGGTTTTGTATTTTCATGAGATAATGGTGTCTGATACAAAGAAATGATACAATATAAACAGCTCTAAGAAAATCAATTCAGGAAACAAATATAAAGGGGAAAAAGGCAAGTAAGGATATAGGGCTGGGATGGGGAAGCGTCAAAAAAGGGCAGTGCAAGAGCAGGGCAGACAGGTGCCTCGGGTACCCACAGAACAGTGAAAGGGGCTCTCACTCCCAATGACCTCTTTGCTTTTGTGACCACCATTTTTATCCATCACTGATAAAATACTGTTCCTAAAGCTATATGAGTTAGCAATACCAGATCCTTCATTCATTCATCCATCTATCCATTATCCATCCATCTGACAAATATTCTGGAATCTCCGTTATGCACCAGGACTTGTCTTTAAGGACTATGTTAGTACCGCTCATCCAGTAGCATGGCCCATCTCGATCACATGTGTTAATCTATAACCATAAAGTGTCTTTCATTCAAAGTCTTTTCTCCTGTGGCCTCTTTCGCACTTTGATAACTGAGTCCTCAAATTTTAATGGGAGGAACCAAGTCAAAGCAATATTAAAGTCTTACCAAGGAAGCTTCTAGCAACACGAAAGTCAGATAGATCTATTCCGCACTCCAAAGAAAAAAACTTATCTCAAGACTTTGATTATCTTTATGTTCACAAACTCTTAGCATCATACCATTTTAAAGTTTGAATATACTTTAAAAGCTTTAATTCTAGACCAGTGGTTTTCTACTGGGGCAATTTTGCCCCCCCTGGGGGGGGGGGCATTTGGCAATGTTAGGAGACAGTTTGGGTTGTGATAACTGAGGGGGTTGCTACTGGCATCTAGTGGGCAGAGACTAGGGATGCTTCTAAACATCCTACGATGCACAGGACAGCCCCCCACTCCCACAAGAAACAACTATCTGGCCCAAATATCAAGAGTGCTGAGGATGCAAAACCCTGCTTTGGACCAGCTACCATATTCTGCAGATGATGAACTGGACAGCCAAAGAAGCCAGCTGACTCACTGAGGCCGATTAGTGCTATGCCAACGGCTTTCCTATGGAAAGTATCCAGTGTCCAAGAGGATTCTCCTCACCAGCACTTCAAGAACTAAACTGCAAGCCATGACCAAATAAAAGGGCTTTTATATTACCACATGCTTAGTCACTAAAAATGACAGGCTTCAATGCCATACCAATGGTTATGATTGTTGCTATTTAAAAATCACATGGCATTTCCTATTAACAGCATGCTTCACATTCATTTATGACAGCCATAGATTCCAAACACCTCTCCTTTATGAGCAGGTCCACTCAAGAGGAAGGAACTGAAAGAAAATATCAACAGATGCTCAAAACAAACTGATTACAGGAAGGCAAAAAACTTTCCTGAGTTCAGGAAACAGAAGCACAATACCAGGAAAGCTTGGGGTACATTTGCTTTTCTCATGAGCATGTGGTGTCTCCTGTGAAGAAATGATACAGTATGAAAAGCTCTAAGAAAATCAATGCAGGGCCGAGCCCATGGTGCACTCGGGAGAGTGCAGCGCTGGGAGCGCAGCAGCGCTCCCGCCACGGGTTCGGATCCTATATAGAGATGGGCGGTGTGATGTGCTTACTGGCTGAGCACAGTGCAGCCGGTTACAAAAAGGACAAAAAAAAAAAGAAAAAAGAAAAAAGAAAATCAATGCAGGCCATATAAATAGCAATGAAAGGAACTGGGCACTCATGAAAAAGTCATTAGCGGAAAGGTGATCATGGCACAAAAAGGAAAGCTGCAGCCATGCTTAATCCTTTACACTGAGCTGAATAAACAAGAAATTATTTTTAATAATAATAATGTTTTGTTTGATTGTCATTCACTCTCCAGAAAACAGACTGGATTCTAATAACAGTCAAGTGTTTAAACCTGAGTAACACTAAACAATCTTAATCTGAAGTGAACCCAGAATGGGGGCATCAAACTCACAAGGGCTACCACTGCATGCTGCACTGGACTGTGCAGCACCTTTCCAACAAACAAAAGCATTTCTGATAAGACAGCCTTCCAAATAAAGAGGCTCACGTTAACTCCCGAATCAATGTAAGTGTTCAAGTGAGTCCCTGTGCCTCACTAGCAAACACTTTATAACCACATGGCCCAAGCTGCAAGCCTGAGAGTCATATACAATATCTTACTATTAAAAGCATGGAATTATAGAGCTAAAAAATGGAGGAAGTCACTGAGATTAGTTACTAAACTTGATAATTTTAAATAATAGGAAACTAAGAGAGAGATAATGGCAAGTCCCGCAATCACTGAAGCCTCAAGAAAACCAGCTCCGAGACGACAAAAAAGGGAACAAGAATAAATAACAGCCTTGTTGCACAATCTTGAGTAAATTGGTCACTTAAATCTTTATTTAATGTCCATTTAAAGTAATATGTAACAACTAAAGAGATGTAACATAAGTTAAAAAAAAAAAGAAGACTTTGCCATAGGGCCATGTGCTGGGTAGGTAGGAGCACAGTCGCCCTCAACACACACACACACACACACACACACACTCTCTCTCTCTCTCTCACACACACACACTCACACACACCTCAAGGCCTACAGAACACTTGAACTTCCCCGTCTAACATACTTCTACTGGTCTCTATAAATCAAAAAGAGTTCCCCAATCTTTCTGCCTCCTAAGCTTCTCCCTATTAAAAGATACGACATGTAGAAATCCATACATAATATATCTCAAGGCCTACAGAACACTTGAACTTCCCCGTCTAACATACTTCTACTGGTCTCTATAAATCAAAAAGAGTTCCCCAATCTTTCTGCCTCCTAAGCTTCTCCCTATTAAAAGATACGACATGTAGAAATCCATACATAATATATTAAAGTCACATGGATTAAAAGAATATGATTCACACAGCAAAAACCTCTTTGGCAAAATATACTAATCAACTGGAAAAACTGGTATCTTTCTCATAATTTCTCTATCTTTATTAATTTATCTCAGTCTTCAAGAAGACTTAAATTAGAATGTTTCTTTTCAACTCCACTTAAATTCTTGGCTTCATACTAAAATCCTTCCTTGTCTATATCGAGCTATGCAACCTCAGGCTTATAATTATTATTATCATCATCATAATCATCATTATCATTTAAAACCAACACTAGCAGAGCCCTATTTTTACTCCATGAATTGTGCACTGAAATCTCTACATAAGTTACCTCATTCACTCCTCATTAAGAATTATAATTATTGCTGCTGTGCCTCCGTCCTTCAGATGAGGAAATTGAAAATTTGAAAGGACAAGTACTGCCAAAGGTCACACAGTCAGTAAGAGTCAGAAATGGATTTAAACCCAGTTTTATCTGTCTCCATTTTGTGCACCCTTAAACCCATACACCACAGGGTGGCTTTGTATAACTACACACAGTTTTGCTTACACTAGCATGAGTCTTCTGGGTCATCCTGCTTCCTTCTTCCTGGAGAAAGCTCTGATGCAGCTTTTCTAGCACTCACCTTTCAGTATTCCTGAGCATCAGAGCCGGAAAGAGCTGGGTTCGATTCCATATCCCCACTACACAAGCGCTGTGAACTTCAGATTTCACATTTGTTAAACAGAGATGATAATGTCTATATCACATCGTCGTTGTGGAAATAAGAGTAGCAAATGCACGAGGTACTTCAAAAAGTTTATGGAAAGATTTATACTGTCTTTTAATTCTATTTTTTCATGGACTTTTTGAAGTACCCTAATATGTCCAGTGTCTAGCACTATGTCAAGGACACGACAGGCACTAAGATGTTGGTGTGCTCTCTTTATCTACACGGCAGAAGCATTAATGAATAACAGTAACACAATCACAAATGTGAAGAGTGCAAAACACCTCCATGATGTTTCTTTTTTTTTCCAAAAAGAAGTCATTTTCTAATTTTCTCCCATAGAGAACAATGGCAAAAGAACTAGATTAGGATCTAGTTTCTGTCCTACCACTTAGTAGCTGTATGACCCTGGGTCAAATCTTTTAGTCTATAATACCCCTCTTGCCTACATGAGCAGAGAGAAGGACAAAAGTGAAGAGAGTATATGATAATATATGTGTTAGCATAGGTTTACTAAAGGATTATATTCATCAAAGTTGTGATTACTGTGTCCAACTGTTTTTTTTGTTTTGTTTTGTTTTGTTTTTGTCTTTTTCGTGACCGGTAAGGGGATCACAACCCTTGGTGTGGGGTCGCCTGCACCGCGCTCAGCCAGTGAGCGCACCAGCCAGTCCTATATAGGATCCGAACCCGCAACGGGAGCGTCGCCGCGCTCCCAGCGCTGCACTCTCCCGAG